TATTATATAGTGAGATTATATAAATTTATAAATAGTTATGTTGAGTTATTGTTTATATTAAGTTATATAGTGATACGATTATGAAGATTTATATATAGTTTGTAACGATCCTAAAATTAATGCGCTTAGCGCTTAATAGTTTAGAGCCACTGAGGCGATTAGATAAACCAGTTTAGTTTAGTGGTAGTTAGAAGGTTATAGATATATATATATATGCTATGTAGAGTTATTGATTATATATAGTTATATAGTGATATATACGGTTATATAGATTTATATATAGTTATGTAGAGTTATTGAATATATATAGTCCTATAGTGTTATATACGGTTATATAGATTTAATTATAGTTATGTAGAGTTATTGATTATATATAGTTATATAGTGATATATACGGATATATAGATTTATATATAGTTATGTAGAGTTATTGAATATAGATATTCATATAGTGTTATAAACGGTTATATAGATTTAAATATAGTTATGTAGATTTAATGAATATAAGTAGTCATATAGTGTTATAAACGGTTATATAGATTTATATATAGTCATAAAGTGTTATATACGTTTGTATAGATATACATATAGTTATTTAGTGTTATTGATTATATATAGTTATTTAGTTAGATATACGGTTATATAAATTTATATATAGTTATGTTGAGTTATTGTTTATATTAAGTTATATAGTGATATATACGATTATGAAGATTTATATATAGTTTGTTACGATCCTAAAATTAATGCGCTATTTCGGTTAACAACTATATTATTGTTCCTTAGGTATCCTGCTGTCGCACAAGTGTTTTTGAAGTACAATACCACTGTGCCATCATCAGCACCTGTGGAACGTATATTTAGCCAGGCTGGAATGATTCTCACTCCTAAAAGAAATCGTTTAAGTGATGAATCATTTTAAACTTTACTTTTACTCAAAAAGAACAAACTTTTTTATTGATGTAAATAAATTACTGTAAATAATGAGTTGATTTCTGAGTTTAATAAATTTATAAATTTTTCAAATTAACCATGGTATGTACTTAGGTACTTATGTACTTAGTACTTATACTTAGTACTTATAAGTATCAAGTATACAATTTGTTTTGGCACTTAGTACTTATACTCAAGTATTTTTATCACTGAGTACTTAGTACTTATACTTAAGTACATTTTTTGAATACTTACGTCATTACTGAAAGTTAGACAGTGATATATACGGTTATATAGATTTATATATAGTTTCTATAGAGTTAATAATTATATTTAGTTATACAGTGTTATATACGGTTATTTAGATTTACATATAGTTAAGTAGAGTTATTGATTATATATAGTTATATAGTGATATATACTGTTATATAGATTTATATATAGTTATGTAGAGTTATTGATTTTATTTAGTTATATAGTGTTATATACGGTTATATAGATTTATATATAGTTTGTGACAATCACCAAATTTATGCGCTTAGTCATATATAGTTTTTGACGATCCCCAAACTTATGCGCTCAGCGCTAAATAGTTTACATCCACTGAGACGATTAGATAAACCAGTTTAGTTTAGTGGTAGTAAGAATGTTAAATAGATTTATATATAGTTATGTAGAATTATTTATTATATATAGTTATATAGTGATATATACGGATTTTCAGAATGTAGAATTATTGAATATATAAAGTTATACAGTGTTATATACGGTTATATAGATTTAAAGATAATTATGTAGAGTTATTGATAATATTAAATTATATAGTGTTATATACGGTTATAAAGATTTATATATAGTTATGTAGAGTTATTGATTATATAAAGTTATACAGTGATATATACGGTTATATAGATTTATATATCGTTATGTAGAGTTATTGAATATATATAGTGATATATACGGTTATTTAGATTTATATCTAGTTATGTAGAGTTCTTGATTATATATAGTCATATAGTGTTATATACGAATTTTTTGATTTAAATATAGTCTTGTTGAGTTATTGAATATATATAGTCATATAGTGTTATATACGGTTATATTGATTTAAATGAAGTTAAATAGTGTTTTTGATTATATATAGTTATATAGTGATATATACGGTTATATAGACTTATATTAAATTATGTTGAGCTATTGATTATATATAGTTATATAGTGATATATACGGTTATATAGATTTATATATAGTTCCGTAGAGTTATTAATTATATATAGTTATAAAGTGTTATATACGGTTATATAGATTTATATATAGTTATGTAGAGTTTTTGATTATATATAGTTGTACAGTGTTATATACGGTTATTTAGATTTATATATAGTTATGTAGAGTTATTGAATATATATAGTCATATAGTGTTATATACGGTTATATAGATTTATATATAGTTTTATAGTGTTATTGATTATATATAGTTGTATAGTGATATATACGGTTATATAGATTTTTATTTAGTTATGTAGAGTTATTGTTTATATATAGTTATATAGTGATATATAAGTTTATAAAGATTTATATATAGTTTTTTATTGTTATTGATTATATTTAGTTATATAGTTATATACTCTTTTTCATTTTCTTTGTCTCACTCTCTCTTTTTCACTGTCTCACTCTCTTTTTCACTCACTTTTTCTTGTTCACTCACTCATTCACTCTTTTTTTTTCTCTCACTCCCTCTCCCACTCACTGCCTCTCCATGGATGCAATCTCCATGTTGTCATCTGCTTTCGCTTCATCTCCACCAATCTCAGCTGCTCGTACAGATGAACTACTTGCTGCTTTACCGGTGAAATCATTAACTCCTCTTCCAATTGGTCCTTGGAACAACAACTTCAACAAACCGACATGAAAATGCTCCGATGGATGCAACGAATTAGTCTGAAGGACCACATCAAATCTACCGAAATCCTGCGTCGTGCTGGTTTAGATGATATAAAGGACGAATGCCGGCAACACCGTCTGCGGCGGTTTGGTCATTTCAAACGATGTAGAAACAGTGCCATAACTTTTCTTGCAGATGTTGAAGTACCTGGCACACGTCCCAAATGCCGTCCAAAGAAGTCCTGATCGCAAACAATCGAGCAAGACATGAAAGCTCTAAATTTAAATGAAATGGATACAACTAATCTTCTAATTTGGCGCAAAAAGTTGATGGCTAAAAAAACAACGTCCTACCTCGGGGAACCGGGTCTCTAGACGCAAAACGAAGATTGATTTCGTCACGCATGGATGTATATAATCTAATATAAATAATATAATGTGTATACATCCATGGCGTCACATCTTAAAACTTCACAGTTGTCTTCGTTGTGTTATTACATATTGTTTGCCGACAGAGACGAACTATGAATCTTCAAATAAAACCTGACAAATGGCGAAAAGAATTTATAAGTGTAATTCAGTATCGACAAAGGTGTCTCAAAGGTCTCTAGGAATATCAACTGTGGCTGTATTATGGGTGAAACACTTCATAACAAGAATTAAAAATTAGTAATTTTCGTCGTGTGACACTTCGGTGTAACGTTTTCATCAACAAACTTCTCATCGTTGGAGATGCCCGCTCTTAGGCTTCACAAGAAAAAAATTCAGTGGTTAAGATATATTAGATTAACTTTTAAACATTTTAATGATTTACTTTTAAACGAGTAGTAATTTAATTTTTAAATCATTTACTTTTTTACGAGCAAAAGTGAAAAACTTTATCTAATTGTGAATACTCTATTGATTGAAGATCTGATAAACAAATCCAAATATGAATGAATACAAAAGCAAAATGAAGCGACGAGATTTTACACTAAAAGAGAAAATCGACTTTTTTGAAATAATCAAACAGCAGCCTAAAGATCTTTCAAGACGCCAGCTGGCGAAGATTACTGGAATTTCAAGAACGACCATTGATCGCTTGCTACAACAGGAATCGAAATTGCGTGAGGAGTGGGAGCAGTCGTTAAGAAAAAATAACCAACTCCACTTGAGTTCTTTCAAGAAACGCAGGCGCGTAGGCAAAGATCCGGACGTGGAAGAGGCTCTCAACGAGTGGGTTGGCATCGTCACCAAGAAAGATGTCCGTCTAAGTGGTCCAATCCTGAAATCAAAAGCTGAAGAATTTGCTAGAAAGCTGGGGCACAATAAATTCAAGGCAACCAATGGCTGGTTTAGTAGATGGAAATGCAGATATGGAGTTAAATTAAGTAATGCTCCTAGTAAAAAGGAAGATTCAGCTGATACAGTATTACTGAATGTTATTGATGTTGAGGACGAAGATGCTGGTGTGATGGATGCTGAGGAGTAGAGACTGTCCGAGTTATTAGGTAAGTTTTCAGTGGAAAACATATACAGTGCAGAAGAAACTGCATTGTATTTTCGGGCCACTCCAGATGCTTCTCTCTGCTACGAACACAGCTCACTTTCAAAATCTAAAAGAGCTTTAGACCATCTAACTGTTTTGTGCTGTACAAATATGTCTGGCACAGATAAAAGAAAATTATTGGTTGTTGGTAAGGAAATCAGACCTAGATGTTTCAAAGGACTTCGACTAGAAAGTCTGCCAGTAACATATCATGCAAATAATAATGCTTGGATGACAGCAGACATTTTCAAACAATGGTTGATGGATTGGGATTTGCAACTTCAACAACTTGATGCTTCACGAAAAATTCTTCTTCTAGTTAACAAATGTGCTTCTCATCCAAATATGAATGAGTTGAAGAGCATTCAGTTGGAATTCCTGCCTCACAAGATGTCAGGATTGTTTAGCCCGATGAATATGGGAATCATTCAAAATTTGAAATTGTTGTACAGGCAAACACTGCTGAATCACATCCTCGAACTCATTGATGAAAATCAGTTGACGACATCTTCAAGCTCTCTACAAGTGAGCGCAAAAGTCAGCTTACTCTATGCAATTATGTTTCTATCTGACAGCTGGAGGAGGTTGAAAAACAAGACAATTCACTGTGGCTTGAAACTGGTTGATGTCACTGAGCTGCCTGTCCTGCCCAACATCCGTGCAATTGATGAGTTGAATGCTGTTGAAAACGTTGAAGCATACCTATTTAGTGATAACAAACTGCCATGTTTTGATGCAGGGAATGAAGATTTTGAAACTTCAATCATCAAAAAAATATCTACAAAACGTGTTGAAATATTGTCAAAGATTGAAAACACTGATAAGGACGATTTTGATAGGGACGATGTTCGCGTGACGACACAAGATGCCAGGAGGTGCATGGCCGTTTTGAGACGTTATTTCGTGTCAGATGGAAATAGAGACAGCCCAATTTCTGCTTTAGATACTTGCCACGATTTCATTCAGCAGCAATCCAAGGAAGAATTGCAAAAAACGATTTTGCTTAAGCTTGTAGATAGTAAATGCAGTACATTCCGAAACTAATCAACAGGTCACGCAGTAATTAATTTTTCATTGATTCGTAAAGTTTTTGTATTTGGGATTTACTCAGAGATAACATTCAAAAAATTTTATTTTCTTCAATTCATTATCAGAAAAATTTTCATTTAACAAATTATTATTGATTACTTGAAAGAAAATAACGTTTCCTGGTCATGATAACGTGTGGAATAAGGCTTTTTTGGCGCCTTTATGCAGAGATGGCTCCAACTTATCTGAAAAAAAAAGAATTTATGTAGAGTAAATCTGCCAAATCCTATTAATTTTTTGTTTAAAGTTTTTAATAAAAACCTATTGTGGTAATAAACGCGTTACAAATCACTCACATATTTTATGTTTCCCTTTTATAGGAAATTTAACCTTCAATTCCATTGGATCTCCACATATCAACACGAAAGGACTCTCTGACTCACCGGATGGGAACTGCAGCCAATCAAATTTAACGTTACTATAATTAACCAACTCTTTCAGCCAATGGGATCAAAGAGTTTTTGTGCTGTTTATTCGAATAAACCAATGAGATTACTTGATCTTTGTAGTCATCTTCTGATATGCAGTCTTCAACAATCACTCTGCCCAATAAGCAGCTTGACGGATATGTTTTGGGAAATTTGATATTTTCATCTGAATAATTTTTAATAGAGCATTATTTTAGATGTTTATTTTAATTCAATGATGAATTTTTAAAAATTCGTTATAAAAGAAGCTGGAAGTCTTACCCGTTTGTGTATGATTGTGTATGCATTTGATTCACGAGTATATTATATGTCAATATATGTCCTAAATCGGCAAATCTTCCAAGAACGAAATGCGAAAATGTGTATAAAAACATGAAAATATATATAATATTCATCATTTAACCGTCATTATTCAAAATGAACAAATTATAAATTCGATGCTAAACATTTTAGCTTGATTGTTTGCTCTTTACAGACTCAAGAGCCACTGAACCGATTGCTTTCGATTTAGTGCAAATATATATTTCGGGTAGGATGGAGAACGAGGGCATGGTTTTAACATGCTTCAAGGGTCAGTTCGGTGGTGGGAGAATTTCTAATCGATTTTAAGGTTGGAAAACTAGCCATACATACATATATACAGACACATATGCACACACCAGCATACTTTAAATATTCAAAAAAGTTTTTAAAATAACCATTGTAAAATTTCTTATAAAAGTTCTCCATGGCATCGATATCAGTTTCATCTGGTCTTTTGGACGTGGAAGCGATCCACAGAACTCCTCTGTGCGCTGTGTACCACGTGCGGCCTTCGTGCCTAGAGTTGCATTGTTATAATTTATTATTAAACATAATTATTAAACTTTATTATTATATTTCATTAAAATGCTTTTTGCCAAAAAAGTTTCTCAAAAGCTCTTCTTAAATAATGTCACAATAAAGTCGTGCCATCTTTATAACTTATGATAACTAATGCACTGTGTGTGTTTGTGCGTGTGTGTCTGTATGTGTGATATTTTGTACGTGCAAACAAGAGCAAACTTTTTGATGCCAGCAACCAGAAGTGAGGCCCATGGTTGATGCATACTGAGGCACATACCCTCGTCCACCATCATCTGTACCCCAGAATCTTGCACCACCCTCATTCGATTGTGGTGGGGTTGTTGGTGGAGGTGGAAATTTTTCGAAGCTGTTGTTGAAGATGTGTCAGAAGTTTCTAGGTCGTCCGCAGTGAACTGTGACGTTGGTGTGAGTTGTTTTGGAAAATTATGAAGCGTTTATTGAATTTGTTTTTTTTTTCTAAAAGTTGAATTAGTGGTTGCGAATTTCTCTGTTGCTGTCGTTGTTAGCAGTGATTTGGATGATTTTAAGGTTCAATGTTGGTGATTTCGTACGCTTGAATTTACTCTTCAGTATAATGAAAGTTTAATCAGACAGATAGATCAAATGAACAAAACAACACGTAACATGCACTAACAATTTCAAATAGAACTTAATTTCAAATTCATTGAATTCATCCAATAAAAATAGAAAATTAGGCAAAAAAAAACTAAAAAAGAGATAGGTGAACTAACAATCGGTCTCATGAGATCCATATTATGAATGCTGTAATCTCCTCCACCATCAGCAGCAGAACCATCAACATCTCCAGTTAGGTGGTCACCCCCACTGCCTAAATTATCGGCGTCGTCATCCGGACTGTACATATTTACGTTTCTCGTGTCGATTTCCTTAATCTCTCTGCCAGCAAAATCAATGTTGTACTTTCGGGGACCTAGACGAGATCCGAATCTTTGCTCTCTCAGTTCTGCCTCCTTTTTCCTCAGCAGCTCCCTCTCCTCCTTTCTCAGCCACTTGTTTGAATCCGTCGAGAAGTAGTCGCAGTCGTCGTCGATCACTCTTGTCCTTTTTACGCTGCCAGGTGTCAGGGGAGTTTCTGATTATACGTACTTAACAATGCCTCGCTATGTGTTCAATTTATTTTTACGTTCATAACTATGGACGCTATCTAGCAATCAATCTATCTAACAATCGATCGATCTATCTAACAATCAATCAATCCATCTATCTAACAATTAATCAATCAATCTATCTAACAATCGATCGATCTATCTAACAATCAATCAATTAATCAATCAATCAATCCATCTATCTAACAATTAAACAATCAATCTATCTATCTCTCAATGAATTAATCAATCAATCTATATAACTATCAATCAATCAATCAACCGGAGACAATCGCTCAATCAGTTATTGATTGTAATGATTGAAGTTGTCAAGTAACATACTTAACAGAATTTATTTGAATGAGGTCAATGGCATTTTTTTTTAAAACGACTACTCTCTTTCGTTTTTTTCCATATTTTACAATTTTGCATATTTTACAATTAAATTTCATCCTTTTGATACGGAAACTACCCTCAGCCCTAACAAAAACTTAGCCCCGAATCAATGCTTTACTCACGGGCATCATCAGAAAATGATGCCAACCGGGACAAAAAAAAATCAAAAAACCATGAAGACAAGAACCTTGTCTTATCGAATTCAAGTAATTTATTTTTAAATTGAATGGCTTCCATGAGATCGACATCGGCCAGTTTCTGAATGACGTCACTGCCAGCGTCATCGTCGTCAACATGGCCATAATCCTCTTCTTTTATCTCTTGCTTCATGAGGAATGATTTCAACTTTTCACTTTTATTGGAATTTCTCGAGAGGATTTCTTGCTCCGCCTTAGTGCAGACCTGTAGTTTTTAAATTTTTTCATTATTCAGTCAATCAATTATTCAATCAATCAATTATTCAATCAATCATTCATTCATTCAATCATTCATTCAATCATCCACTCAATCAATTATTCATTCAATAAATTATATCTTCAATCAAACATTCATTCATTTGTTCGTTCAATCAATCAATCATTCATTTACTACATTGAATATTTGAATATTACACACGCATACACCACACGCACGCACACACATACACACACACCTAACCAGAGAGCCGCAGAAAAAACATGGGCCGGATCCTTCCTGTTCGCAGACGACCCTCCCACACTCCAAACAGTTGTTCACTAATGCATGCCTCTGAGCCTGGCAATCACACCTGTGTCTGCCTGTGTTTTGTATGGGTCATTAAAAAAATGTATAAATTAGTATGTATTTATGTATGTGTGTGTGTGTGTGTGTGTGTGTGTGTGTGTGTGTGTGTGTGTGTATTTATGTATTTGTGTGTGCACCTAAAAAATTTTTTGATGAAACACAAAGTAATGGAAAGTTCAAATTTATTAAATTTGACACAGCGTCATACTAATATATGCCCTCTCAGAATAACTCTCATGAAGAATTGAAGGCAGTTTTCATTACAATACAACACAAACCTACAACAAACCAGTGTAACGAATCTGCTAATTCATTACAGGAGAATACAATACAATGCATTAAAATACAATGCATTAAAATACAATGCATTAAAATACAATGCATTAAAATACAATACAATACAATGCATTACAATACATTGCATCACAATACAATGCATTAGAATACAATACATTACAATACAATACAATACATTACAATACATTACAACAAAATACAATACATTACAATACATTACAACAAAAATACAATACAATGCAATACAGTACAATATACGAAATTACATTATAGTACAAAACAATACAAACTGTTTCAATATGACATACAAAACTACAGCCAAATACAATACAAATACGAATGTACATGCCCGGAATTCTGGCAATCCTCTCCTTCCCATCAGCCCCAAACAATGGCAGAAATGTAGTTTTTTTACTTTTGCCAGCAGAGGTCTTTTTAATAATTTGTGGGCTAGCTTTACTTTCGTTGTTTTGCTGGTTTTTTTTGGAGAAATTGAAATCACGAAATGAGGAATATATATTTTTGATAAGATGAACTGGGTTTTAGTGACAATTTTTATTTCTAATTTGTTTTCAATATAGTGCAATAATTTTGTGTGGAAATTTAGATATAATTGGTTAAATAAAATATAAATATTAAATACAATTAAAAAAAGAATTATGATAATAACAGATGAAAAATTGATATATATATATATATATAATATATATATATATATATAATATAATAAATAACCTCGTAATATAACAATATAATTATAAATATACAAAAAAATGACCTATAAATAATTTAATTAATAAATCATATTATTATTGAAAGATGGTTTTTGCCATTAAAAGCCAAGCAAAGCCAACCACATCAGTAGCATTTTTTTGCTCCTTCCCATCACAAACACCACCATCATCATCATCACCATCATCTTGTTTCTTGATGTTAAAAGTTTGCCAGCAATCAACCAAATCGTCGAGAAATGGATTGGCTTTTGGAGATGAAAAATCTATTAATTCTTTGATGTAATCTTTTAAATCTTGCAAGGACTCCATAGATAATAAATAGCTGTTCAAGATGGTCAAATCAAATTAATGAAATTAAATTTTAATTAAAAGAAAATTTTAAATCTGAAAATTTTAAAGTAAATTGAATAACATTCTTCTCAATTGCCAGTGCCAAGTACGTTCTATTAATAATTAATTAATATGTATGGCCCTCTAGTCAATTCAAGTTGTCATTTATATGTGTAAAAATCTAATAATATAATTGTGAGGTAATATAATCAATATAATATCATATCTTTTTATTGAGATTTTTTTTTTACTGATTCAGATGTTAGTTAGTAGATTGTATTATTTAAATTTTGAAAAAATAAATTACATTTTAGAAATTTAATAAAATTTATTTAAATTTTAAAACAAAAAAACAAAATAGGAGCATGTGTTGTGTTACAAGACCAATCTAATATGATTATATAGATTAATTATAATAATGATTATAAAAAATAAATATAAATATCAAATTCAATTTCAAACCCAGTTGAAAAAATGAACTTACTAAATGACATCATCGGTTATTTCTGATCTCATGAGACGTGACAAATCAAGACAAAGTCGTTTTACTAATTTGTTTCTTTCATCTGCCGACATTTTGCTCACCTATATCTGAAATCTCGCATGGATTAGCAAAGGCAAAGCTTGTTATTAATGTTCACTTTTAGTCAAAACTTTTAACTGAAATTAGTTTAATGTACATGGTTCAAAAACGAGTAAGTTGAAAAATTGTTAAATCATAAAATCCAGTAAATTAGCTATTTGTAATATATACATTAAATTTATTTTAAATATCATATAAAATGCAAATCAAATTAAAATACATTTAATTGCGATAAAGCTTCATGCTCGTGTAAGTTGGTGTTAATATTATAACGTTGTAATTTAACATATTAACAATCTCAATCTTCAATAAAAAGACATCCTTCCAAACATTATCAACGTAATTGCCAATCAACGATAAAAAAACTCTCTAACAACCTTCATCTTTACTAAAAAAATCCTTCAATCCCAAAACCTTACCTACCCGATCAGCCATACAGCACCTTTGAGTTGCATTAAAAGGCGTTATAATAATAATAATAATAATCTAATAATAATAATAATAATAATTTGACATATATATATATATATATATATATATATATATATATATATATATATATATAGTCAATATACGGTGGAGAACCTCGTTATCACGTGTTATCTTACCAACGCAAATCCTACATTTGTTCGCCCCACCCACTAACCCAACATCAACTTTCACTCTGACCTAAAGACCCAAATAAATCGCACAGTTGAGCAATCTACATACACGCGGTGAAAGAGAAAAAAATCTGAACACGACGATGAAGGCGAAAATCAAAGCACAGTGAAGGTGAGATGGAATCAAATCAATCACACACACACACACACACACACACACACACACACACACACACACACACACACACACATACACATACATACACACATATATATATACACATACACACAAACACACAACACAAACGCACGGGCCAGAGAACCAACACCGCAAAATCACATACACAAACAACGAACAATAAACACAATTAAAAAAGAAAGATTTTTCCAATATAGATTCATCAAGGCAACGAGTAATGAACTCGGAAAGCCTCCTCAAATGAATGGTGAGTCCATCCCCCACAGGTAACTACGCAGGATGCATTTTAGATTCAAGATTATATCAATGAAGATATAACACTATATAATAAAATATAATTCACTAATTATTGCTCACATCTGCACGAGCGTATGGCACAGGCCGTCAAATTCTTGAATTTCAACCTGACATATTCGCCATCAAAAAACCGCTACGAAAAACTCTCTTTCTTAATAAAATATGGAACCCTACTCATCACCAACATCAGAGCCTTGCTAGTTCTCTATCGCCAAAACAACCTCATAGTATAACTATTAGACTTGGAGAACTAAGAACAACGCAATTCCAAAACCCGGTCAATTCGAAATTTACTTTTCTGAGAAAAATGCGTTTTTCTGTTTCTTTCAAGTTAACACATAGAACTATAAATTAGGTTAAACTAGTATATTTCAAGGCATCTCTAATGTTAATCTAAAGTTATTTCTTATGATAAATTCAACAGTTGCCAGAAAAAAGTTTTCATTTTTGTGAAATGACATAAGTTTCATTTTATAGTTCCTCTTACGTGTTTTCTACTGTTATTAAATCATTTTACTAGAGATTATGTTTTGTACCAAAAAGTATTGAAGTAATATGCAGCTGTACTATGTATTTATGTTATTTAGTTATATCATCTCTTATGCAACAGAGCCTTCTTCTTCGTCATAGATTATATGGCTGGCTTTATCCTATTCAGAGTGATTTGCCGATTAACATTCGAACTAGATAACGACGGTGTAGAATCATCGGCAAAGAAAATAAAATTTAAAACTTTTGATGAAATAATAAAATCATTAATAGAAATATTAAAAAAAGAGAAATAGGAGTAAGAGAAGGTATAGAGTTTTGATCTGAACGTATTGATATCTTTTCTTTAAATATAACACGAACCAATTATAAGGAATGAATGCCTTTAACAAGGTACTTAAATAATTTATACAAAAAGATAGTGTGGTCGAGAGAATCGAAGGCTTTAGATAAGTCAAGAAAGATAGAATTTTTTCAGAATCTGAAGCATTAGAAATAGAGTTAACTACATCAGCTATAGCAAATTCAGTGGAATGTTCAGCACGAAAGCCACATTGATTAAAGATTAATAAGTTATTTGAATTCAGATAATTGGTAAGTCTGACAAAAACAATTTTTTAGTTAAGTTTAGAAAAGCTAGAGATTAGAGAGATAAGACGATAGTTATTAACATCATGATGGTCGCCAGATTTGATATGACTTGGTACAAAAGGTATGACTTGAAATTTTCAAACATTTGCGGAAAATACCTGCTATTAAATGATGATTTAATTAGATGACATAAAAGTGAAATAATATTTCCTATGGATGATTTTAAGAGAAAATTTGAAATTAAATCGTCACCAAAAGATAATGATGTCAAATTCAAAACTTCACATTTCAGATTAATATTTTTATTAATATAAGGTGAGCTAGTAGAAATCGCGTTATTTGAAAATTGAGTTAAATTTGCACCCACTTTAATATCTCCTGCTGTAGTGGCCGGTTTATCAAAATCTAAAGTAAGTGAATTTAATTTCGTTCAGTTGGAGTTTATTGAAAGAGTCCAGCTGTGATAGTTGTTTTCAGCAAGACTCAAGTGTGTTGGACATGCATGTCTGTGTTTCACTATCATTTCAACTATTTCATTGCGTAAATTTTCAAAATTCACATCAATAACACTTTCCAATCTGGGAACCATTTCTAAATCCTTGCCAACAAAAACCGGACAATTTTCTAGCAAATTATTCGATATAAGAACGGCAATCAATACAATCCAACAATCTATCATTTTTATTTGTCACATGAAAAACCAATTTATCGTTATTATTTTTAATTTCGTTTTTATTAAATTCTAATTCATTTATCAAACATTTTAATCTTCCTGAGAATAAAATCTAGAAACGTTGAAAACCAAAGCTTCATTATCCAACAGATCATCATTATTATTAGTCAAAAAAATATAGTAAATCATTAACGAAAACTGCCTTGGACGCTATTTTCTATATATATATATATACATATATATATATATATATATATATTTACAATATTCTATAAATTCTACCGAATGTTTGGCGTTAACATGTTTGTAGTTCGTTTTTTCGATTTTTCTCGATTTTTCTACCAAACATTCGGTAGAACTTATAGAATATTGTAAATATATATATATATATATAAAGATATAGAGTAGAAATTGTATAATGATAAAGCATGGATCAAAATGACGAAAAATATCACGTCACATCACATAACATAGCAAAATAGAATAAAATAGAAGCAATGAAAAGTGAATGTTTGAAAGTAGATGGCAAACAACAATGCTTATGTACTTGAGTATGTCTGCATGTATTTGAGCCCTTGTATGTACACCTGGAGATACTAACTATTTATAGCATTCATAAGAGATTGAAATGAAATCCAAACAACGTGATAGCGAAACAAGAGTGACTCCAATACACCAATAACCATTCCAACCACAATGTCAGATGGATAGTGCCGGCCCATGAAGATTCGAGAAGCAAGAACAAAAATCACCCAAATCCTCAACAGTTCAAAGTACATTGAACCTATCTGGAAGTTGGAGTAAACGAAGAAAAGGATTAACATTGCTCTGGCAGCATGGCCACTCGGCAGAGAGTACTTGTCGACGAGTATGGTGTCCTGATCGTCGACATTCATTTCTGGTCTCTCTCTTCTGAATATGCCTTTGATAGTTGCATTAATGAGTATGTCCAACAGGAGAGCTAGTGAAGTAAAAAATATACTACATTAGTTAAACCAACTTTGTAAATAAGCATTAATAAAAAACAATATGAAATAATAATAGTAATAATAAATAAATAAATAATTAAAAGTGAACCTAGCTGGAAGTTGATTAGTTTTTCTTTCAAAACTTTATCTGCACCAGCCATGAAAAACAACGAAGGAACAATAATGAGCCATATGCCACCATGGCCAGAGATCTCAAGCAATTTCATCCAGGGCCTCATGAATCCAAACAGCTTATCACGACTGCTGCATATTGCCAGGACCCGGATTAGGGTTTTGTCGGAGGAGTCAATCCTGTTTATGAACTTTCGAATAAAGCTGCTCTTCGGTGTTGATGTTGCTGTTGGTGGCTGTTGATGAATAGCTTCATGTTCGTTAAGGACTCCATTGGCACTTGTTGAATTCTCAATTGAGACATCTTCTGTTGCATTAGTCATCATGTTGTGTTGCGTACTGTACTGCTAAACAACTTACGACCAGTTTATCATACAAATTTCAGATAGTCATTGACTAGCTACTATTAGATTACTACTTCTACTAGTATTAGCAAACCTGAGAAGACACTAAGGAACTTAAATGAAACAAAATCAATACAGCAAAGTTACAGTTGGTTATTTTATTCTAGCATACAAGATCTTTGTTATTCATTATTTTCTTCTTGGGAAGTTTCCTGTTGAATTCAAAATATGATAAGTCTGGTTACTTTGTACTAAAATTGAAAAGGAGAAATTAGTTAATCGATGATAGAAACTCGTAAATCGAAACAAATAATTTACGAAAATAAAAAAAGCGTTTAATTTACTTACCATTTGCAATTTTTTTCACAAAAATTTTCAACTGTTTTTAACCATCTTTTAAATTAAGTTTTAAACATTACGCATTGAGCCGAAAAAAATATTACGGCGCATAACATTTCAAAAAGTTAAAAAATACCCCTGGCGAACGCTAGAAAAACTGTACAAACCCGAGTAAAATAAAACGCACTCCCAACCACAGTAAATGGAGACAAACGAAAAAAAGGGCACAGAAGATCAGATGTTGAACAAGAACAAACAAGTTTAATTAAATAATTATAATTATTATAATTATTATAATAATTATAATTATTATAATATGATAAATAACATTCATGATTGAGATAACGGTTAGATCAGAAAAGTCCTTGAACTTCCTCAGTCTCAAGATCCAGATCAATATCATATATGCAAGGTCTGGTCGGCAGGCCAGGCATGGTCGGCATCTGAATATTCATGAGATGAAAAATAGCACGGCGTTACAGTTATAAAAGAATTTCTACATCAGAGAGAGAGAGAGAGAGAGAGAGAGAGAGAGAGAGAGAGAGAGAGAGAGAAAGCGAGGGCAATAATAAAAATAACGCCAAACTAACAGCTCCAACGAGGGGATAAATGAACCCAGCTCCCACGCTGGCACGTACATCCCTAATCGGAAGAACAAATCCAGTGGGTACACCCTTCAGATTAGGGTCATGAGAAAGCGAGAGATGTGTTTTGGCCATGCATATCGGCAACTTGCCAAATCCCTGGCTTTCGAAAAGTTGGACTCTTTGGAATGCCTCGGGGAGAATATCGATCCCCTCGGCTCCGTATATCTCTTTAGCTATTATCTCCATCTTTGTGGCCAGTGGCAACTGTTGTGAGTTTTATAAGTTGAAAAAAAATTCTCACTAAAAACAAATTAATTCTAAAAATTAATTAATAAAACAAATAAAATATATAATTTACGCCTTTGGTTTCTGATAGGCTATCTTTACGCAACAGAAACCAAAGGCGTAAAGATAGCCTATCGAAGCTGAAGCGCCGTAAAACTGCAGAAGAAGAAGAAGAAATTAATTCAAACGAACATTCAAGTCATAAAGAAATTTGAATTCGCTCTTCTGATTGGCTGCTTTCTCGACGGCCTCGGCCAATTGCAAAGCACCAGCCCCACCGTCTGACCAATGAGAAGATCCAACGGCATCAAATGCTCCTGCCTCCTTAGCTAGTCTTTTCACGAGATTCAGTTCCGCTTGCGTGTCGGAACTATAATGAGGAGTTAACAAACAAACAAATAAATAAATAAAACATTGGAACTGATGCAAATCTTCATGTATTCAATTCACTAATTAAGTAAACAAAAATTATTAATGAGTAAAATTAACATTTATTAAAAATTGAGAGTTAACCCAAAAATATTGAGAGCAACGACCACGGGCAGGCCGAACTTGCGTGCATTTTCAATCTGCTTAACCAGATTGCCACACCCTCTTTCCACTAATTCTAAATTCTCTTCAGTGTACTCTCTAGGCAGAGGAGTTCCGGCAGTGACAGTTGGACCCCCACCGTGCATCTTCAACGCCCTGATCGTCGCCACAAGGACCACGGCGTCAGGTTTCAGACCTGAGTATCGACATTTTATATCGAAGAACTTCTCCATGCCTATATCCGCCCCGAATCCAGCTTCAGTCACTGTGGGATGCGTTAGAAATGTGAACGTGAATGCTAAAAACTATCTCCACGAAACCAGACACCAAATGATGGAATAGTTGGAAATAATAATCAGATTTTTTTGACATTTGACATTTTTATTTCATCAAATCAAACAGTGAAATCAAAAAAATGAAATCAATGAAAGGGAATAACTGCACACCAAAAGATGAAGGAACTACGAAACATGGGATAAAATGAAGCAACTACCTACCAACAAAGCCATCCTGTCCAACGAGTTTGAGAGCAATTCGATCGGCGATGATGGATGAATTGCCGTGAGCAATGTTGGCGAACGGGCCGGCGTGCACGAACACTGGAGTGCCCTGGGTGGAAAGAAGGTTTTGCAAGAGAAATGGAAGATGTTGGACTGAAGTTATAAGGTGCATCAGCTAAAAATGGCATCTGAACAAATATATAAAACAACACACAAACACATAGAACAGCAAAAAGAGCTTAAACAAACAAACACGGACAGAGACAAACAGACAGAAAACCTCCAATGTTTGCATGAGGTTAGGCCTGATAGCGTCTTTCATGAGGACAGTGAGGGCCCCACCGGCACCCTTATAAATGAAAAATAAAAATTAACATAGGACCACCATGCTTGTTAAATGTTGAAACATATATTATAATTATTATTATATATAATATAGTTTATAATTATATATAATATATATATATATATATATAATATAATTATATATTAATATTGGAATACATATATATATATATATATATATATATATATATATATATATATATATATATATGTATATATATATATATATGTGTTACGAACGAATAAATGAATCCACATATTTGAACATATAAAGAAACCGCTATAGATGGATGAATGAATGCTTGAATTCGTAAACTCAAGAAAAAAAAATATAAAACAAAATTTACTTGAGTTAGTGAAGTTAGCCTAAGCCAAACTCCAACCCCAACCAACCATCCAACCAATCATCCAACCAATCATCCAACCAATCATCCAACCAACCAACCATCCAACCAACTACCCAACCAACCAGATCATCGGCAGTGACAGGCGTGCCACTCTTACTACTCGCCACGACCATCCTACCGAGTCGAGCCCTCATGTCCCGAAGATCATCGGACAGGGCAAGGACGGCCATGATTTCACTGGCCACTGTGATGTCGAAGTTGCAGGCTCTCGAGTGACCTTTCTCGGTTGGCGACTGCCCGATTGTTATTCTTCGGAGGAATCTGTCGTTTGTGTCCAGCACTGTTTTGAGAAGGAGGGATATGTTTGGAGTATGGTTGGCTGACTGGTTGGATTGTTGATTGGTTGGATGGTTGATTGGATGGTTGGGGTTATGGTTATTTTTTCGTGGGATAACTTCCTATGATTTCGTTTCGATGGTTTTTGGAATTTTCCAAATTACGATTGTAATGCTAAAAGTATTACGCAATAATAATACTAACTTAGCAAGCTCGGATACACGCATACATACATACACGTACATACATGCATGCACACATACATAAATACACAAATACAGACGTTAACGATCTAACAATAACACATTAAAAGACCAACCGATCAATCAATCAATCTTCGTTTTGAGTCCAGAGACCCGGTTTCCCGAGGTAGGACGTTGTTTTCTTTGCCGTCAACTTTTTGCGCCAAATTAGACGATCAGTTGTATCCATTTCATTTAAATATAGAGCTTTCATGAATAAAAAAACCAACCGACTGACATTTTAAAGTTTTCTTCATTCATTAGTTAATTTCATTGCGACAGACCTCACCGATGACGATCGTGACCTCACCAGTTCGAACACATCAAAAGAAACTTTCTAGCGAGCATCGATATTACTTAATCTAAACTCTTTGCGATATGGATTTCACGAGAACGTGTCAAAGAAATACTCTGTAATTCAAACTACATTAATTAACGTTAAACGTACGCCAGTTCAACTTTTCTGCCAATAACTTGAAAATCATTAACGTAGCGAAAAATCTCTTTTTTGAGTTTCACAATACAATCATACCGCTACACAATTACATAAAGTTTGTCGAAATAAGAAGAGTTATTCCTTATGAAATTGTTGATGGAGGCGACACCATTCAATACTTATTTCATTAACATCACTGAATGAACTTTTAATGCATGCAATTCGCGTTCTGTTCAAAAAATTAGATCAGTCTAAAAACTGCCTGCATGCCTCTGTCTGAACCTACCCGAACCTACCTCACTCAATAGTGGTACCTACCCGAATCTACCTCATTCAATAGTGGTACCTACCTACTGTGTGTGCACATTAGGATTGATAGGGATTGAAATGCGTTGAAAATTATGTAAAACAATCATCGTTATCAATTATATAATAATAATATTATAATTATAATATATAATTATAGTAAAATTATTTATTAATTATTAATATTAATTATAATATATAGATATGTAAATAGATGGAATAAATCTACTTATTTCTTGCGCATACCTCTCTGCCATGTTATCGAATCAACGTCGATGTCCAACCTAGCAAATTTGCTCATCTCTTCCGGAGTCAAACTGTCCGGTTCTGTTTTATCTATGCCCAGCCTCTGAAAAAAGTTAGGTGTCGCTCATTTGAAAGATACTTTTTGGGGTATCGTTAAGGTATCAGAGTGATTATGATAATTTACTAAAAAATGGATGAAAGGTTGAATGAATGAATGAAAGAATGAATTAATGGATGAATGATTGAGTGAGTGAATGAATGAATCTTCATATTCAAAGGAATGAAAAAACTAACAGCTACTTGAGAATTAGTGAAATTAGTGAATGATGACGTAACAAAAAAATAGTGATGTACCTTCAATCTACCTAGCTGAATGTTTGAAAACTTCCTCCCATCTTTTGTAGCAGGAACCAGCCTGTTAAACAATGCCTGTTTTAGAAAATTTATTTAATTAAATTAACTAATTATATTATTATTTAATTTATTTATTCATTATTTAATAAAGTTAACTTAGAATAAAACAAAACGAGAAAAAAAGCAAAAATCTAATCGAAACAAAAAATTAAACAAGAAGCAAAGAGCATATCATCATCAGCAGCAGACAGACAGACGACCTGATCAGACTGTGTGGCTTCGTGAAAGATTCTGGCATCTAGCTGGGCGGCCAGCAAATTATTGGCAGCCGTGATGGCGTGTATGTCTCCGGTTAAATGTAGGTTGAAATCCTCCATCGGTATCACCTGAAGTGTTTGCAAATTTTTTTTTCTTTTTATTCTTCAAAAATTCAGACTCTGGTAAATGCAAAATCCGTCAAAACGCACGAGATGACGAGAGGAAATATATTAAAATAAACAAAATGGACAAAATGATGAGTTTTTAGGCTCGGATTAAAGCATAGCGGACAAAAGCAACCACCCCCTAATCCTAATCAACTAACTTGCGAATAGCCACCACCGGCGGCACCCCCCTTGATTCCGAATGTTGGACCTTGCGAAGGTTGCCTGAGACAGGCGAAACAGTTCCTCTTCATGACTGCACCTAGGGCTTGACAGAGACCGACCACTGTTGTACTTTTACCCTCGCCAAGAGGGGTGGGAGTGATTCTGATTGGTCGGTTGTTGGGAGGTGCTAGTTTTGGAGTCATTTCTATCATCAGCAGCAATACCAGCATTATCATCATCGTTGATATCATCATTACGAACAACTCAACAAAACAAGAAACCATAAAAGTAAAAAAAAAAACCAAATCATAATCACAAAACTAACCCAGTAACGACAACATATTTCCCATCCGGTCTACCTTGAAATCTTTCCATGACCTTCAGACTGACCTTGGCCTTTCTTGACCCGTATAATTCCACTTCCTGATCCAGAAGGCCCACCTCCGCGGCTAAATATTTAATATCTTTTGGTGTCTGGCTGCGTGCTATCACTATATCGCTGGATGAAGGTGGGTGATTTTATTTTGTTGTAAACATTATTATTGTTTACTATATAATTTTATTATTATATCTATCATTACGCTAACCCTTACTTTCGGGGTACCTAAGCGTTTTATTCTGGGTTCTGGGCCCTCTTCTATTTATGCTCTATACATCTGAACTACCTCCGTATTATTAATAATTTTTCTTTCACTAGTCAACTATATGCTGATGATTCTTATATTTATACTTCTTTTCCTCCATCTAAGCTCAGTAGTGTTCTTCATAACTCTCTACCTCCTCCTCTGACTACTTCTCCATCCCTTAAGAAGTTCAGAGCGGATCTCAAGACCCATCTGTTTTCAAAATTCATTGAGGAGCGCTGTTGAACATCGCGGAAATAGCGCTTTATAAACTAATTAATTGATTATATACAAAAATTATATAATTAAACTATAATGAAGCCATAATAACATTTATTATTCTCATATACAATAAGTAATTCTTTATTTAGTATTTCTCGAAGAAACCAACGACAAATAATGCAATATGTGCTATATATATATATATATATATATATATATATATATATATATATATATATATATATATATATAATATATATACGAAAACCATTGCAGTAGTAGCAGCAGCAGCATTCAAAATCGACTGAATACACGATCCGGGAAGACGAAGTAAGACATTTGAAATTTAATCTTTACACACCGATAGACATTGTAAAACGAGGAAAATTTAAAATTACCGACAGAAGAGATTGAAAAACGACTTGAAAACCAAATCGACCCGAGAGATGACGAGGCAAGGCGGATAATGATAATAAGGTTTCAACAGTAAAGCTATAATAATAATAATAATAATAATAACAATAATAATAATAATTATATTAATAATAATAATAAATAGAACACATCCACTCAACTATGACGGGATCTAGTGGCGTTATTTTCTCACTGATCATGAAAAAATATGAAAAGAACTAAATCACCACCACCATCGTCGTCGTTACCATCTTCATCACAATCATCAAAACCATACTCATGATCATCATCGCCACCATCAGCTGCAGCAGCATAACTACCTAGGGACAGGTCTGACTAATGTTAACGGAAGACTCGTAAAGCTCCATGAAGATGTCTGGTAATAAAAAGATAATAAATAGATGAACAACGTGCCAATTGGTCAAGAACAATGCACTAATCATAAATAAAGCACATCTCTAGTTTCACTAATCCCTAACATGCTGTGTAATGATAAAAAGATAATAACTAAAGACAATCTGTCTCAATTTATAAATTTCAACTAATCAATAACCAATAATCAGTAACAACGCGCTAATCAATAATAAAGCACATCCCTACTTTTTCACTAATCCCTAACCTGCTGTTTGATGTCCTTCTTAGCCGACTCGACGGTGTTGGCCAGCAGCATGGCCACCGTCATCGGACCGACGCCGCCAGGGACGGGCGTGATGTGAGATGCGACCTGCTTGGCCTCTTCGTACAGCACGTCACCGACCAACCTCTTTCCTGAACTTTTTTTGGGGTCTTCAAAAATTTGAAAAAAAAAAATTCAACTAACGTTGTTTCAGCTATTAAGATGCTACTATTGCTTATAGAAATTAGACCAAAAGTTGCGATTTGAAAACAAATGGAAGAAGTAACCATCACTCTTAAGCAAAATTTGTAATGAAGATATTTAAATATTCATGGGAATAACTTTTCAACCACTCGAAAAATTGAAAATAAATTTAACAAAATGAACAAGCCAAAAAAAGAAAACACAGACCAGGTATTGAGTTTATGCCACAGTCAATAACAACAGCCCCTGGCTTTATCCAATCACCTTTCACGAATTCGGGCTGGCCAATGGCAACCACTAAGATTTCAGCTTCTCTGACCTAAATGCATAAATGACATCTACTTAATCAGGTCAATTTATTAGCGATTTGCCAATAGCAACCACTAATATTTTTGATCTAGATTCATAAATAGCAGTCACTTAATTAGGTCAGTTTACTAATTTCAATTGCTTCTTCAGCCTAAATACACGATGATGATGATCACCGCCATCCCCACGTATTGCCAACTTAACTTACAACTGAAGGCAGATCGACAGTTCTGGAATGGCAGACAGTGACGGTAGCATGGTTCCAAGTTAGAAGCTGGGCCATGGGTGAGCCAACAATCTTGCTACGACCCAGTACTACCGCCCTCTTGCCCTTCACTTCGATGCCTGTGGTTGGTTGGTTGAAATTAAGAAGTCAAGATGTGATTGGCTGGAAATTTAACGGAATAAAATTCAAAAATTCCATAGCTTGCATGAACGGTTTGAAAAATAATTTTTAAAAAATGCATTAAAAACCAGTGATTTGGTTGGTTGTGAACATTACCAATAGCGATTTGATTGGTTGTGAATATTTGCAAGCAGTGATTTGATTGGTTGTGAATATTTGCAAACAGTGATTTGATTGGCTGGAGGGTTAATTTTGAGAGGCTGACCTGATTTTTTGATTAGCTGCATGCATCCATTCGGTGTGCATGGGATTATGCAATTGGTCAGTTCGCCGTGCAACAACTTCCCTGCATTCGCATCCGTTAACCTGAGTACGATGATGATAACGATGATGATTGTGACGATAGTAATTATGATGATGATAATAATAACAATAATAATAATAATAATGATAATAATAATAGCCCCCACCCTAGCCCTAACCCTAACCATCACTAACCCGTCAACGTCTTTATCGGCAGCAATCTCATTGAGGATCTTATCAGAATCGATGTTTGTACTGCAATCCAAAGGCAACTGTGTCATGAATATTTTAAACATTTCAATCAAATTTGTTCTTTGAAATATTTAATCCAGTGTTGCTTGCTCGGTTCGGTTCATTCATGTTACTTATTAAAACATCCAATTTTATAAGTGAATCATTTATTATGAATGAAATATACATTACATTAAAAATTAATTACTTAATGTTATTAACAAAATACTATTGGAAATAATTTATTAAAAGACATACAAACACACACGCACACACACACACACACACACACAAAGAGAGAGAACCAACACACACACACACACACACACAACACACACACACACACAGATACAAACCTGCACAATTATGCCATGAGTTTTTGCATCAGCATTCAGTGAGTGGATTACATTCTTTAACTACAGTAGTGAAAAATATTAAATTTAAAAATTTTGAATTTTGAAATAAATTGTATTGATAGTAATAATAATAAATGAATTATTAAATTAAAATAAATTTTAAAGTAATATAATGTTTATAATTACCTATACTAAATCAAATATCAATTGTTTGCGATAACTATAATTAAATAAATTAAACACCATAAAGCTTTTTTAAACTTTGAACATCCCAAAAACTTCAATTAACTTTATAAATTAATCATAAAATCCAATTTAAAAATTTAACCTGACTTTTTGAAAATGTAAAAAGATAAAATGAATAAAATTTGAAATTAATACTTTTATTAAAAATAAAGTAAAAAGAACCTCAAATTCCGTCGTTTCTCTGGCCAATTTGACGTGAGTGGCCCTCATGCCGAGTTCTTCGGCTGACTTCACTTTCATTCTGATGTAGACATTTGAGTCTTCGCGATTGCCCACCTGAACTATGGCCAAACCTGGGCAGAAGTTAGGGTTGCCTTCACGAATTTTCACGATGTCATCCTTCAATTTAGCATACAATTCACTGGAAATGGTAGAAATGAATTAAAAATGCCGAAATTAAGTTATCTGCATTGTATAATTTTTTAAATAATTAATAATTAAATTTAAATAAATAAGAGAAACTGAAATGTCAACAGTCAAAGCAGGCAAGTCACAAACCACGCCACTTCTTTTCCACTTAAAACCTTTGCCATTTAAATTTAAGATTTTAAATTTTAAAAAAATTAAAAATCTTAAAGTAAAACACTCGATTCAATGATTTTATTCGTGAAATATGGAACTTGATCTGGAAAAAAAACACGCGAAACGACACACGCACATTGGACCAAAAGTTTACTTTTAGACAGCAAAATGGTTAAGTATGAACTTTGGAAAACCTTTCCATAGTGCTGGCTTGAGCTGACAAATGAAATTTTTATGAGTGTATGTCATATATATATATATAAATATATATATATATAATAAAACATATTACATTGATTAATTATAATTAATTAATGTTATATTCTATAAATGTGTGTCATATATTTAGAATATAACATTATCAAACAGTCCTTGTTTATAGTCTCCATTTGTTATGGGAATGTAACATTATATTATAATATAACATAATATAGAATAAAACATTATATTAATTAAATTAAATACATAAATGTTACATTCCATATATGGCGTATTCCATATATACAAGATATACGAATTCATTACACGAAAATTAAAATCATTAATCAAATTTCGTACACCAAATTTGATAAATCAATTTTGGAAGCAATTGTTCAAACAGAAGAACGAAATAAAATAAAGAAAATACGTCTTATACAACGTAACTATGTAAATTTCTGATTCCACGACCTTTAATTTGTTTCTGGCCCGCCGGTAAACTTAATCGCTTTGGGTCTGTTTGGATCGAACGTCTCCGACTTCTCCTGACTCAAACCACTGATTCTTATATCCTCTCTCTTGAATGTTTTTTGAGGCTTCCTTTTCAAAAAGTCAGGTGGCTTTTTGTCTACCAAGCCCTTTATGGCAAACCCGATCGAGACGAGGATGAAGAAACCAGATATAGTGAGGAAAGAAATGACCATGATGTGGAAAGTTCCAGCAGCTGTTTGTCGTTAAAATGTAAAAATGATCGATCAATTTCACGACCAATTTTGTATTAATTTAAATCAAGATTTGATAATTAATTTTATGCAACAAAGACCACAAAAACATTTGAGACATTATTCAAACTGCTGCAACAAATTATATCAACCAAAACTCACCCATCAGAGTAACTAAATGCAGACCCAGCTTGGACCTGCACTCAATGTTGTATGGATTTATCGGGTACTTAGCTGTGCAGGTATAATACCCGGCTCTCTCGACAATAACCTGATTACTTATCGTCGGCTCAAATACTTGGTTGGTCGATTCCCAGACGTACTGAGATGGCGGATAAGATGGCGCCCTGCATACTAGTAAACGAGTTCCGTTTGTGAAAACTTTCTCCGTTATGCTCACTTCCGATGGACAAACTAGGTAAAAAAATTTTTATGTACTTCCACTTTTATTTATTTAGATTCGCGAGTAAATTTTATAACATAACAGATTCTCTTCTGAAGCATTCATTGGCGTAAATTGAAATCCTTAGAACCTCTGAGCAATGCCCAACTAACACGCAATAGTCGGTTCAGGAATGTCACAGTAGAGATCGATTGGGTCGGGGTCATCGACCGTCCGCCATGATTTCTCTTTTTCAGTGTTGCCGAAATCAAGTGATCCAAGTTGCTTCTTAGTGACTGGCACGAACATGTGACATCTCAATTGCGAGAAGTTAGTCAGATGATCAACTGACACCTTACAGGTCAATTCAATTTTTAAAAGGTGAAATGATTTGCATTTTTAGTAATGTCGATACGATCACAAATAAGTTATCAAGCATCAAGCATTCGATTACAGCGCACAATCACACACTATAAGAGAGAGAGAGAGAGAGAGAGAGAAAGAGAGAGAGAGAAAGAAAGATAGAGAAATCTCTAAGGAGCGTTGGCAACATAATACAACAGTAGTGATAAAAAATTACGTACATAATTGTTGATAGTCAGCCATCCTTTTCTGTCGGTAGCATTCTTACCGACATTCACAACTGTTTCCGGGCCGGAGCTCCACTCGAGAATCGGTTTAATAGACGTCGGAGTGACTCGGTACTCGAGTCTGCAGTGCAGTTTCAAAGTAGAAAACTCGACAACGGTCATGTTCTCGGTAAGAAGTTCGGTATCATTGGCCTCGCCCTGATACAAACCTGCCTCACATTGTGGCTTATCTGATATGAAAATGATGAAGCTGATTGCGAAAATGGCGGAGATAAGTTGAGGAAAAAAAAATTAAAATGACGATGATCATTAAAACGATAAATATTTTATCGGAATATCAAATCCGTAGGGAACATGCAAATTATTTAGAACATAAATATTTTCAGTTCTCTCACGAAATAACATCTTTTATATACTTATATTTTCAACATTCCATATCGAATTTGCTAATAGCATAAATATTTTTTGTTTTTTTAAATGTTATTATGGCTGTCAAATCAACAGAAATTATATTTTCAATCACATTTTTAATATTCACAACTTTAAAGTATTTTTTAATACTTCGGGAGTGAATGTTTACGTCGAGTTCTGCTTCCTGAAGTTTTTAGCTCTTCATTTTCGAAATTATTTCACAAACTGTCCATTAAATTGGTTCTCTTAATCTCTTAATTTTCTTCGTGAAAGCTGCGAGAAGCAACTTAGCATTGTGCTAATGAGGGCGCGATAAACGTTTTCAAAACTGTCTGATTAAAATGTCATTATTCATATATAAAGTTTGCGATAAGTTTGGAGCCGAAATCCGGGCCCGGATTTTTATGGGCCCGGATTTCGACATTTGTCTCATTTGACTAATGGTTAGTCCGGCCCTAATCTGATGACGATGATAACAACGACGATGACGACAAATAGAAAGATGGCATACCGACGACCATGAGTTCTGCTGCTACCTCCATCTCATCCCCTCCGCCAGACGCATCGTAAAATCCTGCTCGTTGGCAGAGCCGTCGTTGTTTGGAGAAGAATTAATTGAAATTAGTTGCTTGATTAATAAAATTAGGTATGTACAAAAATGAGAATTAATAAGATTGACTTTGATTAAATAATCAACGATTTGATTAAGGAATGCAATCAAGCAGTTAACGAGCCGATCATACAATTGACCAATCAGTTAATCAGTCAGCTAACCAACCAGCCAACAAATCAATCAACCAACCAACAAATCGACCAGCCAACCAACAAATTAACCATCCAACCAACAAATCGACCAACCAACCAACAAATCGACCAGCCAACCAACAAATTAACCAATCAACCAACCAACAAATTAACCAACCAACCAGCGTCTTGCATGGTTACGTTGGTTATTTGAATGTTGATGACTTGAACACCTTCGAAGTAGACTTTCACATTGTCCGTCGTCAGATTATTTGATGCCGAAGGAACACATTGAATCTTCGATTTCGTGCAGCTGCGGGGCGTTCATTAGTGGTTCATTGGATGAAAAAAAGAAAAACAACGGACGGGTGAACAACAATTGGATGAACAACGAATGGATGAACAACGAACGAATAAACAACGAATGAATAAACAACGAATGAGTGAACAACGAATGAATGAAAAACGAACAGACAAACGAGCGGTTGTATAAAACGAATGTAGCCACAAATAATCAAAAAAAAAGATCAAATCAACGAGCCCGCCCTTAGATCAGCATGAACCTGGTAAAAAACTACCAGCATAAATCACTTGATCAGCGCTAAATTCCGAAAAAATATCGAGTTACACTGCGTGTTCGGTAAGGCATAATAAATATTCGCTAAATTTAAGATATCATATATCAAAAATTTCGAGATTTCCATGATCAAATTATACATTTTCGTGCTCAGGATATTGAATATGAATCTGGCAGAAGACTACCAGCTTGATTCACCACATCAGCGTTACACTCCTAAAGGTCAACTAATTATACCGCGTAAATAATAACTATTCGCGTTTAAAAAATGATGAAGGTTCATGTCTGAGAACTGAGTTTTGCCGACTCACAAAGAGGAGTTTTGCCATACAACCTGACAACTAAACCGAAAATGAAATGATCGCAATAAGGATGTCCGTTCTAACAAACATTAAAACACCAAACAGCAATACAAACGTGGCAATGCTATTTCCCTCCTTCGATATCACAATGTCAGTGAACTCAGAGTCGGGCAGTTTGGCGTTGAGAAAGAGTGGAATGACCTTAGTAGTACCGACCAACCCAACGAATATGGTCTTATCGAAGTTGTACAGCGACTCCCTCATCCTAAAATTTACATACTCGTCAGCATCTGAGGTTGTTGCGTTATTTCCAACAGCGGTCGTCATCGGATCGCAATGAACTGTGCGTGAAAAGAACGCAGCTACTCAATTGAAGATTTATAAGGCAGTCGGACAATAAAAATTAAAAAAAATAAATAAAATACAACGAATTAAAACGCATAAGAATGTGACTGGAACAATGATAATATTGATATACACTACCTGTTGAGATGATATGATCCACCACCAACAGCATCGTTATGGTTAGCATCTCCATCCTTCTAGCCAGCGATCACATATCTCTACTCTACATACCTAAAATCAAACAACAACTATGGCGTCATCTTAACTGGCGCGTTCGTTATTAAAGAGAGAAAATATATTAATAAATAAATATGAATGGAAATAACTAAGGAGTGTGTGGCAGCACTTCGGCCAAGTTGGAAAAATTACAGGGCCTCTCTCTTTCCCTCTCTATATATATATATATATATATATATATTATAAATATATATAATATATATTATAAATATATATGAATATATATATTATAAATATATATATGTTGTAATTAGTAATAAATTAACGTTAATACATTAGCTAAATCGAAAGAAATTAATTAACGTATTGTCAAAAATTTGGCGGAATAAGTGTTGCTAAAAGTACGAACAATGTCTACCAGTTCTTCACTTGTTTATTCACAAATAAAAAACCACTTCTTTAATCAATTAGATAAATAAATTAATTAATTAATAATTAATTGAGTATGTTAGTTAGTAAGTAACGCAGTGCTATTTGACGTGAACTTAACCAGTCAAACTGATAACAAATAAACAAACAAATAACCTTAATATGTAATAATAATAATAACATGTAATAATATTAATAATAAAATAGTATTCTGTATAAATGCATGAAATAAACCAAACTAGTAATAAGTTTATATATATATATATTATATATATGTGTATATTATATATATATATATATATATATAAATAACGAAACAGAAGCGATGCAACATGCAAAAGCTAAAGGTAAAAAAACTAAAGAGACATGATGATGATGATGACGACGACGATGATGATGTTGGTGATGACATGTCAAGAAGGAAAAGCAGAAAGCTGATGATGAAGACGGTGGATAACAGGGTGACGATTGGTGGATGGATGAATGAATGAATAGGTGAATGAATGGATGGATGAATTAAAGAATGATTAATCAAGATGACGATGTGATGTTGCTAAGCGAGAATTTTTTCTCTCCATTAAAACAGATTCAAACAACCATGATCATATGTGGCAAGATAAATGCATTACATGAGAGCAGATTGCAAAAGTGTGTGCGTGCGTACATGTATACAAGTATGTATGTGTATATACATGTATGTGTGTATACAAGTAGGTATGTATGTGTGTGTGTGTTTGTGTATACATAATGAATGTATATTGCATACACACACACATACGTTTGTATACATGTGTGTATGATTATATGTATAAATGAATGAGTGTACGTATATACGCGCACAAACTCAATTACACAGAGATGATCAACACACAATCACACATATATGGCGCAAGCACACACACATATTTACACACAAACACACGCACACATACGTATAACATATAATCAGCAATTCAAGGAATTATTATGCTACCAGATAAATTAAGTTATGAAAAAAATTTTAAAGGTAAAAATTTTTTGAAATGAGAAGATCACTTCCCCAGCCAGGCCAGCAAACAACGAACTCTGGAGTTGCTCAAACGTCTAATGAAAAATGAAAATTTAAAACTATCTGAATAAAAAGTTAACTTCTAATATTCAGAACTGCAGTCATAGCACACACTCCAACATACATACACTCACACACACGAACTCACACATACATATATATTTATTGGGAGGAGACCGTATTTTATACAGAGTATTGTATGAATTCTACCGAATTGTTGATATTAATCAATTTAATGTTTGTCTTTTCAATTGTTATATACTAGAATATTCTATCTATATATATATATATATATACATACATAAATACATACATACAAACATATATATATATATATATATATATATATATATACACATACAAACAAACATACATACATACATACATACACACATATACATACATTTGAACAGAAACAAATGAAGTTACTATATAATTAAGGCACAATCAACTTTGATTGCACTTGAAATTCCATTAAAAATCTCAAGTCAAATTACAAAATAATACTATTAATGATAATATTAATAGTAATATTGATAATAACATTCGACAAAATTCAAAGTTTATATTAAGTTATAAATATAATTATAAATATATATATAAATAAATAATTATAAATATATATAATGTTTATATACATAAATGTATGCGCGTTGTGAGCAACATAGTACAAAAAGTGTCCAATGAAAGTAAAGGAGAAATAAGTTAATCGACATTTTTCATCAGCTGTCCATAGATTTCAGTTTATTGCTTCTTTTCATGACGTCGTATTGATAACGATGGTGATGATGGCGTATTGATGATGATGACTTATTGATAACGATGAAGTGCTGATAATGATGACGTGGCGGCGGTGATGATGATGACGAAGAAATGGAACTTTATTAAAGTATAAAAAATCAGCCAAACTGAGTGTGACGTTTTGCTAGAATAATAATAAATAATGATAATAATAATAAATAATAATAATAAATAATAAATAAATAATAATAAATAAATAAATAATAAAATAATAATTGTAAACATTCCAGTAGATATAAACTCATAGTGACCCAAATGCTAGTATGAAGATACTCTTAACAGGGGTTCTGTCAAAGTCAAACAACAACAACATCATCATCATCATCATCATCCTTATTATTATTATTATTATTATTATTATTATTATTACCATCATCACCATCGTCATCGTTAATATTATCAATTATTATTATCATCATTACTAATACTAACGACAAACTCAAGTTCAGTTCAATCATAACAACAACAACTACAACAATGCGGTATAATAAAAAGTTAACAATGGACATGATGGTATCGTTGAAGACGATGACGATGATGATGATGATAACGTTTATAGTGATGATGATGATGATAACGTTTATAGTGATGATGATGATGGAAAGGAAGTTGAAGGGGAAGATGATGATGTTGGTAGAGAGGAAGAAGAAGATGATGATTAATCATACAGTCCAGGAGTAGAGCTGGCGTCGTTCTTGAACATTCCCTTTCAATGAAAAAGTTATCATTCAGTCAATCAATCAATCAATCAATCATTTAATCAATCAATCAATCATTCATATGGCCATTAATCAATCTATCAATCAACCAATCCACTATTCAATCAGTCAACACACTCAACTATTCAATCAATCAACACATATCAATCAACCAACCAGCCAGCCAACCAACCAGCCAGCCAACCAACCAGCCAGCCAACCAACCAGCCAGCCAACCAACCAGCCAGCCAACCTGTGAATGATCAACCCCAGCAGCGGCAGCAGCAGCAGCAGATGCCATATTGTACATGTTAGCAACGTTCTGCTGAGATGATGTCGTCGACAGCAAACTCGGATACACACCACTGCTCCCTTTAAATTTTTGTTTTTGGGTGTTTGTTTGTATTCAGTTGCATGGCTGCTCGTACACATGTTTGTTTGTATGTTTGTATTTGTATACTCGTTTGCATGTTGGGACTGAATGAGGACATTGTGACATTGATAAGGAGATCGAGATTGCGGTGGTATGGACATGTGTTGAGAAGGGATGAAAGGGTCGGGATTAGGCGAGCGTTGGAGTTCGAGGTTGAAGGAGTGGTAGGAAGGGGTCGTCCGCGATTGGGATGGAGAGAGCAGGTGGAGAAGGACAGGGTGAAAGCGGGGTTGCGTGATACTGAGGCGAGTGACAGATGTGGATGGCGTCGAGAGGTATTTCGGTTTCATCATAGGTAGCCAAACGGCAACCCCCGATCTCGGGGAAAATGTCGTCTAAACGTGTGTTGTTGTATACTCGTTTGCATGTTTGTATTTGTATACTCGTTTTTTTGTTTGTATGTTTGTATACTCGTTTGCATGTTTGCTGACATCTGCAAGTGTGGGCAAAAATGATTCCAAAGAAGTAACCCACCGACGGCCTACAACAAACAAAAATGGCAACAACAACAACAACCAAACAGCAGCAAGCAGAAACGAAAATGCAAACAACAACAGACCATGACTAGATCCGTCGTTACTGTTTGAAGGGCTGAGTTGTTGTTGTTGATGTGAGGATGAGTTGTTGTTGGATCTCGATGCGTAGGCATTCACCTCTTCCTGAGCTTTCGTTATGTTCTTCTTGTAACGAATGCGTTTGTTCCCGAACCAATTGTTCACCTGAGTTATATACATTCGTGATGATGTCGGTGTTGTTCTTGCTTGAAGTTTTAATTACAGTCATTATTGACCTGATAAAATCCTACAAATTAAATAACGAACAACAACAACAAACGAATGATACAAAACAAACAAATGTAAAAGTAAAAAAACGCTAATCCCTAATTTGAAGTGACCTGTGAAACGGTGATGCCACACTTCCTGGCCAGCTCTTCCTTCGCCTCTTCACTGGGGTACGGGTTGCTCAGATGCGAATAGAAATATTCATTCAGCACTTCGGTTGCTGTCTTGCTGAAATTTCTTCTCTTCCTCCTGGCATCGAGGAATTTCGACCTAAGCACCATGACAGCTTCGCACGTACTCTGCTTCAGTTGCAGTTCGATAGAGGTGAACTTTTTTCTAATTATGCTGACCATTCTTTCAATTTCTTTGGGGGCCACGGGGCGGGTTCTGCTCTGCTCCCTCAGAAGGTTGACCACGTGAGTTGTGAATTCACTGCATGCCTGTTTGGATTGTGTGATGTCTAGTTAACTGTAACATAAATAGTGAAATAATTCTTTGAATGAATGAAGTTGAAACCAACCTGTTCATATTTTTCATATTCAGCGTGATAAACTTGGCGAATTTGATTAAGTTTAGCCCTGTAATCAGAATGCTCAATGGTGTTTTCAGGAGAATCATGACCCGTTGACATGGCTGCCTGCGTCGCCACAGAAAGCGAGTTGCCCCCACCCTTCTCCGGACCAGCCACACCTTCTGCTATAAGCATGTTGTCTAATCTCATCAGTTGCGGATCAGTTGAGTTGTCTTCCTCGGCCCCTCTGAAACTCAATCCAGTTTTCTCTTTGATTTCACAGAGCACTTGAAACAAGGCATTCCTCATGCGGTGGCAGTTTAATGTGTGTTTCCTAATAAATAAAAAACTCAAATTGATTAGTTAGAAATTAATGAGACATTGTTTAATATTTGAAAAATCTAAAACTCTGCCATAGCAATAAAAAATGATATTCACCTAGCTTGAGCCTCATCTAAACTCTGATCAGTGATGGCCATAATCTGCTGCAGGATGTCACCCAGATCTTGCTTCTTAGTGTCTTGGTCACAAGGTGGCATTCCATAGCCTGCCATGTTCATGGCCGGAGTGCCGTTTATCATATTGTTGATGCAGTGCATGTTTTGATTGTACGGATGGTTGCGCTCGTTCATTGCGATTGCGGATCGTAATCTTGCTGTAGAACGGGCGCGGAAAACTTGAGTAAATTATTTTTTTTACTGGTAGGTAGACAGCAGCAGGGATCGAAATAATTCAAGATCCGATTCTTACTAAATAAAGGTTCGTAATCGGTCTGAAGTTTCGATGCAATTTCGAGGATTTTGTTGGAAAGAGGTTCGGGTGCGCTTTTAAAAATTTGAAAAAGCAATTAAAAAGATATAAATTACAAATTGTAAACAAAAGAACTTGACGTGAGGAAAAGATGGAGATATGGTAATGTGTAAAAACCCCAGCTACTATAAAAAAAGTTTGGTAAAACTAAAGTTTACTTTTAAAACAATGTTTCATTTTGAAATTCATTTAAAATAAAAATTTAAGTTATAAAAACTATTTAATAAAAAAAATTAAAATTTTTTTTATTGCAACTTAAAGGTTGTTAAAACTACTAAAGCATTCGTGACAATAACAAGTAAGGATTAAGGATTAGTACACCACTGTTACTATAGAAACCAGGTGTTTCACCGATTTGTACATTTCTCTAAAATGAAATTAAAGATTGTTTTGAAAAAAAGCTCAAAAAACTTTGGTTGTTTATTTGTTTCAATGTATTTATTATAAGAAATTGATCGCTGTATCAATTTATGATCAATCAGTCAATCATTCAGTATATCTTTCAGTCAATCAATTTGTTTTCAAAATTTAATTTGAAACGCCATGTCAAAACAAACACAAACTCAGCTCTCTCTTCAATGAATTTTACAAAGAGAAGGGTCTTGAAATCCGTGATGAAGAAATAGTTAGAAAAGGATGTTACGAATTCCATAGAAAAGATTTAGCATAAGGTTGTTCAATAGGAATTAAAAAAAAGTGAGAACAAGAAGACGATCGTAAACCGGGGCGTTTAGGTTCCATATTAAGAAGATTAAATTTATTAATATATTTGATAGGTACTATCAAGATAATTTAGATTGAGACTTATACATTAATGTGCAAATTTTAAAAATTATTCTATATTTTATAGGTAGCCAGTGCAAAATATGGAGATATATGAGAGAGATAAGGGCACGAGCAACTAGATGAACAGCAGAGTTTAAATAACTAGCTTCCAGTAGTAGAGCGAATGGCAATAATAATCAATCCTAGATAACACTAGTGAAGTAACAAATAAGAAGTAGAACCATCTAGGAGTGGCCTTTTCATTTTGCGTGGATGAAAATTTAAATTTTAAACAACGCTACTAATTTGGGAAAAAAGAGACTCGATTGAATCTAAAAAGAAACATAGACTACGCACTTATAGAAGGAATGGCAACAGAGCGGCTAGATTTGTCAAACACTATTTATCTTTCAGAGCATAATCAAAGTTTGAATTCAAATGCAGATTTGGTCGGTTGTGTTTGTTGGTGTGGTCCGGACGAAGTTTACAGCGCTGGGGACAACCACGAAATTACAAAATGGAACTTGGCAACGGGCGAACATTCCTTAGTTGCCAAGTTGCCTGACGATTTTTACCCGACAGACATCAAATGTGCCTACAAAAGTGCTAATACCAAACAGCAATCTAACTCGAACGACGTTCTTGCAATCGGTTCAACTGACGGTAATTGATCAATAGATAATAATGAATTGTTTAATTAATTTTATTTCAGTAATTTCAACGGTTTTTTGGCTTCAATTTTTCATAGGGAGACTGATGCTGATGTCTAGAAACGGCCGGGTTGAAAAATTAGTGGAAGCTCATTTGGGAGCCATACCATCACTTAATTGGAACCACGAAGGAACCGACCTCATAACTGGTTCCTTAGATATTTCAAAAGATGGAATTTTCATTCGAATGACGTGTTTTTAGAGGCACATAGACAGAAAATTAAAATAAAATATTCATGGAAATTGTAGGTGGAGAGGACGGCCAGTTGAAAATTTGGTCGCGCAGTGGGATGCTGAGGTCGACGTTGAGGCAGTCGTCGTGCGCCGTTCACTCGGTCGCGTGGAGCAGCTCATGTGACCATGTCTTGTACGCTTCTGACAGGCAGCTCACCATCAAACCCATCCAGACCAATGTTAAAAACCTGAATGTTCGTTTGTTATTATTTTTCCACTTCGTTTCCAACAATAACTAACATACAGTTAGATCTATTTCATAATTTATTTAATATGTCAATCGATTATTTGCGTCAATTAACAGTGGAAAGCACACGAAGGCCTGATATTATGCGTCGATTGGAACCACACTAACAATTTGATCATTTCTGGAGCTGAAGACTGCAAATATAAGGTGAGGTTTAAATTAAAACAACGCTCAACAACAGCCAGCTGCCAAAAATGTTGCAAACCAATGAGCAGCATACATAGTTGGTTGCTTGGAATTGATTGATCGTCTTATAACCGTTTGTTTGCAAATTAAAGTACACATTTTACCCTGCCGAAGTTATATTATTCTGTAGAAATTAAGAGTAATTCGTCTGATGGTTGTCCGCGTCATGCCATTAAAATCCAATCCCGGTTCGCGGGACCTAACAGTTTGCGGAACACTTACTAAAAATTCATTGCGGTTCAGTCGATCGGCCAGCCTGTTTTACATGGCAGCACTTCTGTAGCTTTCAATCTCAGCGTCGTTCTCCAACTTATGACGAACGAACAAACTTTGCAGGCGCACGTATTCGTCCAAAGAACGTACCTACGTTGCACGCTCCACCGCATGGATGGCGTGTATCTCAACATTCGAACAGGTCAGAGCAACTCCACGGGACGGATGTTTTACCAATGTTCTAGTCGAATTTTAAGAATTACAAAATCACATTATTGTTCTTTTAATTTAATGACGAAAACACAAGAGCAATGAAATTGACCTTTGTGAACTTTCCAAAGATATGGGACTCGTACGGCCGCATAATTTACACGAGCTCGTCACACGAACATCCAATAACATCTCTGTCCTGGTCTCCGAGTGGTCATCTCTTCGTCGTTGGCGCCTTCAACCTCATCAGGCTCTGTGATAAGCTGGGGGTGCGTATCTACTTTCACCCTCCCACCTCACCTCTTGCTCCGTAACTAATTATTTTTATGAATGCCGCATGAATGCACATGTACGATGAGGTAAGTTGGTGAATGATTGAGTGAACGAATGAACGACGTAAGAAATAAACAAAGAGGAAATAAGTTACCGAGTGGAGGAATGATTGAATGAACGAATGAAAATTAACGAATGAATAAACAAATAACATAGTAACGAATGGATGAATATATATATGACCATGAACAACCAACCAGTGGTCACACAGTTTGGACAAGCCCTCATCCGGCAGTCTGTATAATTTATGCTGGTCACGTGATGGAACTCAAGTAGTAGGCGGGGCTGGAGGAGGAGCCGTCCTCTTTGCCAGACTCTCTGATTGGTCAGATTTTCAATTGCACTTTTACCAAGTCATCACGATTGAGTGTTGACGTCAATTTAAATTGACATTTACTTTGACAGGGTGCATGAATGGCAGAACCTCGAGATACAGGTAAGTGGTGCCAAGGCAATACAGGTGAGGAACATTTCGAACGATGCACGCGATCACCTGGAGGTCAAGGACAGGATTATAAACACGTCCATCAGATATAAATATCTCATCGTCGTTACGTCATCAAAGTGCTATGTTTATAGGTTGGTCGGTTGGCTGGTCGGTTGATTGGTTGGTCGGTTGGCTGGCTGGCTGGCTGGCTGGCTGGCTGGCTGACTGGTTGGCAGATAGATCGAGTGTGTAATTTTTCACGTTTTAATTTCATTAATTTATTCATAGTGTAAATAACTGGCACACACCGGCTGTTGAGTTTGAACTGAAAGAATGCATTGTATCCATGATACAACAATCACATAGGTTCGTATGTCTATCTAATTGTCTGTCTCTGTCTGTATGCTTGTCTGTCTCTGTCTGTTTGTTTGCATAAGTTTCTATATTTCTATGGGAATAATAATGAGGATAACAATGAACATATTCGTGATCATAAGATGACATTCAATTGAAATTACCATCATCCAGATATTTCATGCTGCTAAACTCGTCAAGCATCAACATCTTCTCATACGACGGCAGACTGGTCAGCAGTCCGAAGAGCACATCCCTGAATCTGGACCCCTACAATAGACACGCTGTGGTCATTAGTGATGACGTTTTAGTGATTAGGGATAAGTTGGACGAGAAGACTGTCTACGTGTTTGAAACTGTTACAGGCAAGATGGTGGCTCAAGATGGGAAGCCATACGTTCATGAAGTGAGGATGATGATGATGATGATGGAGATCATGATAATGATGATGGTGGAGACGATAACGAGAATCATGATAATGATGATGACGTCACACGGACGCAGACGGAAGTAATGGAGTTGGGCTTGGAGATGTCCGGCAAAGCGTCAGATAGGAAGATGACTGTGGTGGACAGAAATAGGGACCTGCACATCATCGTCGTTAGGGGCGCTGGCAGTCCGAGGAGGGTCGTGAAAGTAGGTGAGTGGGTGTGATGAGGGGCAGGCAGGGTCGAACCGTATAACTAGAATAAATATAACGGCCTTCGCTCACTTTCAACAGTCTAGCAAGGAGCTTGCTTTCGGAGGGGTGTTAGAGAGAGATTTTTTATTGTTCCAGTCAAAAGTTACGATCGTATATTTATTAATTACGGAATATTGCTTTTATTTAAAATGTTGCAATTTTAATTTTTTCAATTTTTTTTTAATTTAACTTTAATTGTTATCCAATGTGGTAATTAATTACTTTTAATTGGTATAAATTTAAAAAAATAAAATCGAAATTACCGAAAATAATTAAAAGTTGAAAAAATTGAGATTCTTTGCGTATCCCTGCCTCAACCCATAAGAAAGTGTTGTATATTGGTGAATAGGCCTTCCCTTGTTTAGAAACGTAGGAGGTGTAATTGATGAGGTTGTCATTCGTTTGTCAGCACAGTCAGTGCGTACACAGACAAACAGATATATAAACAACATTGAACTGCTTATTAAGTACACAGTAAGATATATACACACACACCACACACAAGTAGTTACACACACATATCTACACACACACTTACACGCCTACACACACATCTACACATAAACACCTACACACACCTATACACACACACACACGCCTACACACGCCAGGTCGCGTGGTGGAGAGTTTATGCTGGCACGACGACAGGAGCATGTTCGCGTGCATCAGCGAGTCGCAGGTGATCGTCTTCGTCTGCCCGTCTGCCGGCTTCATTGACCGCTCACTCATGGAGAAGGCGGTCATCGTTAGAGATGCCAGGTGGAAGTGGTGATAGTGATGACGACGACGATGGTGATGATGTTGGTGGGATGATGAAGGAGGGAAATGATGATGATGTTGGTTGGATGAAGGAGGGTGACGATGATGGTGATGAGAATGATGAAGGAGGTTGATGTTGATGATGATGATGATGAGAATGATGAAGGAGGTTGATGATGATGATGATGAGAATGATGAAGGAGGTTGATGATGATGATGATGAGAATGATGAAGGAGGTTGATGATGATGATGATGAGAATGATGAAGGAGGTTGATGATGATGATGATGAGAATGATGAAGGAGGTTGATGATGATGATGATGAGAATGATGAAGGAGGTTGATGATGATGATGATGAGAATGATGAAGGAGGTTGATGATGATGATGATGAGAATGATGAAGGAGGTTGATGATGATGATGATGAGAATGATGAAGGAGGTTGATGATGATGATGATGAGAATGATGAAGGAGGTTGATGATGATGATGATGAGAATGATGAAGGAGGTTGATGATGATGATGATGACGACTGCAGTGGCGATTGCGACAAATTTTTACCAATAATAATAACTAACAACTATGGAATGACGAAATGACGACGCTGAAAAAGAATGAAGCTGATTAGTATGCAGTGACGAAATTGTTGTTAACGTGACGTCATATTGGTTTCCTGACCTGACCTTGACCTACAGCGAGTACGGCAAGAACCCACAGATCCAATCTTTCCACGGCAACAACGTCCAACTGAAGAGAGGAAATGGATCGATGGTGAGCTGTCACGTGACTCCGTACGCAGGGATGTTACTGGAGTGTGTGGAGGCCAGTAAGTGGGAAGAAGCCGTCAAGTTGTGCAGATTCGTTAATGTCAGTTCCGTTTCACGCTGTCCTCAACATTTTCAAATTTCAAATTTTGTCGGATTCACTCCATGAAAATAATCATTCGATTAACTCCACGACTGTTTTGATCTATTTATTTCTTCAATGTGTAGACTGAAGCCATGTGGGCCTGTCTAGCGGCTCTTGCGACCAATCAGAAGAATTTAAACACAGCCGAAGTGGCATATGCGGCTCTGAATGAGGTGTTTCTATTGGCTGCTATTTATAATTGGGTCGAAATTTTGAAGAATTAAAAAAATAACACAGACATTTAATTTTGAAACAGCCAGAAAAGGTAAAATTTCTGCAGCACATAAAGCAAGAGACCCGCAAAGAGGTTCAAAGTTCGGAACTCGCCCTGTTCAGCAACAATGTCCACCAAGCCGAAGGCATCTTGATTCAGTCAGGCCTTATATTCAGGGCCATCATGCTCAACGTTAACCTCTTCCAGTGGGAGAGAGCCCTGGAGCTGTCGCTGAAGCACAAGACACACATCGATACCGTCATTGGACACAGGCAGCAGTATCTCAATAAGTTCGGAAAGAAAGAAACTAATAAATATTTCATTCAGAATTCTGAAGGGGTTGGGAATGGAATGTTTCATCATTCGAGATTTTTAAATTTTATTTCAATAAGTCTATTAAAAACTTCAATTAACTACTAACTGTAAATCTCATTATTTGTAAAAAGGTGAAAGTGAACTGGGAGACCATCAAAGCCAAAATGCAGGCAGAGTATCAAAACGAGAAGTCTCAGTGATCAATAAGCCACAACTCAAACTGAATTACCTTCATATATGCACTGTACATTAACTTATCAACTCTTCATTTAAATATTTGTCCGTTTCATTTCTTTAAATTAAATATTTATGCTATTTAAATGGTTCTTTCATCCATCCATCCATCCATTCGTTCGTTCCTAAATCTCCAAAAACCTTTCCTACCAACTCACCTGGATTGATTAGTGATACCTTACAAGATAATACAGGTGAACTAGTGATGTAAAGAAATGATTTGTTAGATTAGTTTTATGTTAAGAATTCGCAAGTCGCCACTAAGTCAAGTTTCTTTGTCTGTATAAATTTTAAAAGTTTTTACACACAATTTTAAAATGCAATATAATGTTTTTAATAATTTATTATTGTAAAAACTTGTTGAAAACGTTTTAAAACTAATTTAAAGCTAATAGTTTGATTTTTATAAAACGTGTTTCAGCTTTCTATAACAGTAATTCCAAACTTTTAAAAGAATGTTTTTGTTTACAAAAAATCTTCGCACGAATGCCTAAAAATCCAAAAGTATGTTGGTCTGATTAGTTCTTCGCTCATCTCGGAAAACATTCCCGAAGTTATTTTTAGATAAATCCAAATTTCAAATTTAAATTTTAAGCAAAGTAGCACAATGAACGACATTAGAAACGTCACTCTGCGACGCACAACTGCAGTGGTGGCACTCACCACAGCTTCAACAACGACGACGACATCAACAACAGCAGCATCCAAGAGCAAGCCGCAGAGCATCACGAACAAGTACGATAATAACCGGACCAACGTTCCCGGATGCACCGTCATTAGCAATACAACAAAAGCGAACAGCAGCAGTTTCTTAATCTTAAAGAACAACCACTCAGTCCAACCTAGCAACAATATTAATTTCTCCACCAAATTACAACAACATTATCCGCAACAACATCATCGCGGTCGTCCCCATCATCACCAGCAACCTCTCCGACGTAGAGTTCAAAGTCTCAGTATGACCTCGAGACCTCAATACTTGACCTCGGGTTACCTCAACAACAACATCAGCAGCAATGGCAAACACCTCAACAATAATTTCTCATCAGCTGATCAACATCCATCTAATCTCAATAAAGACAACAACAATTATAATAATAACCTGCCTAGGGTGACTGTTGTGAATCACAAGCTGACAGACACAAGCAACAACGTTGCTAGCATTAACAACAACAACAGCAACAATTACATTGATAATGTAAGCAGCAATAGCACAAGCAAGATAAACCTGACTAAAGTAACGAGTTTCATGAAGGACATGAAGTCGACCCTGATGTCCATTGGGAGATCTTCCCCCTTGCTTCGAAGGCACAACTCCATGTCCAGCGCCATCGACAACACCGACGACAACAACAACAATGACATCAACAACATCGAAGACGACAACCTCAATGCTGGAAGTTTGGGAAAGAGATATGACCTCCTAAATGGACAACACTTGTTGGAAGGTTCTAAGACCTTAACCAGGCCACTGTCTTCAAAGTCAACCAAGGAATTCAAATTGTTGAACAGAAGTATGAACAACAACAGCAACAACTTTAGCAGTGTTGATTCAATTCTCAACAACAACATCAACAACAGCAGCAGCAACAACAACAACAACAACGGCAAACTAACTACCACCATAAAGAACAACATCATAAAGGGTGTCAGTGGCATAATGAACCATGGGAACACCTGCTACATCAATGCAATCATACAATGCCTCAACAACACTACAAAGTTTGTTGAGTTTTTGTTGAAGTATGATTTCAACAACAACAACACTGGTTTGTTTGCCTGCCTGCTTAGAAACTTGTTGAATGCTTTGTGGACGTGCAGATACAAGTCTGGGATGTCATTGATGTTAGCTAATTACGTCTCGAGATCGTTCCAGCAGTTCGAAGACGACACGCAGAACGATGCCCAGGAGTTTCTTCTGCTGCTTTTGGATAAAATTATGCAAGAGGTATATGACGCCAAAAACAACAACAACTACAACAACAACAACAACATCAACAATATCAACAACAACAACAAAAATAAAATGGTTCACGGAGATAAGAATAGATTGAGAGAAATTAAAAACATTAATATTAACAACAATAATAATGTAAATAATGATGCTGGTAGCAGAACGGACGAAGATGATGTTGACATTGTTAAAACGTTGTTCGGGGCCAGTTTAGTTTCGTGTCTGACTTGCAGCAAGTGTCAACACTGCAGTACCACCATAGATCCACTTTTAAACATCTGCCTGCCTATTGAGGTTAAATAATTTTAGCGACAGAATTATCAATCGATTAATCAGCAGACCATTCGTTTTTGAATCAACCAATCAAATTCGATTCAGATCAATTCAGTCATCCCGTTAATCCAGGCAGTCACACACACACACACACACACACACGTACACACACACACACGTACACACACACACACGTACACACACACACGTACACACACACACAAACACACAGAAAGAGTTGTGCATAAGCTTGATGTACGTGCCTTATAAGAAGCACACGAGACAGCAGCTGCATGCTTTCGTTATTTCACCATCGACAACTGTACAACAGTTTCTCTCCATTGTAGCCGACAGAGTTGGAGTTGGCTGCAGTAAACAAGTTTGTCGTTGTTGTCGTTGTTGTTGTAGTTGTTGTGGTTGTTGTGGTTGTTGTTGTTGTTGTCGTTGTTGTTGTTGTAGTAGTAGTTGTTGTTGTTGTAGTTGTTGTTGTTGTTGTTGTTGTTGTGGTTGTTGTAGTTGTTGTTGTAGTTGTTGTTGTCTTGCTTATCGTTGCAGCTGACGCTGGTCCACATAACGGAGACCGGCTACTTCAAAGAGTGCGTCAGCAGAGCGGACCACAACATCGGTGACATCCTTCCCATCAACTACCTCTTCGTCGTACAACTACACAACAACAACAACAATAATAGTAATAATAATGTAAATAATAATTATAATATAAATATTAATAATTTAAATAATAATTATAATAGCAATGGTAAAACTAGTATCAGCAATAACGCAGGCGCCAAAGATGTTATTAATGTGAGTCGAAATTTCACGGACGACAATCAAAATGCTAGTAGTAGCAACAACAAGCCGAATCACAGCCAGAATCATCACAACGACAACAACAACAACAACAACAACAATAATAATAATAATGACGTCATGACGAATGGTAGGAGGCGTCATGATGATGACGTGGATGATGAAGATGAGGATGAAAATGACGATGATGATGATGATGTTAATCACGGCTCACATGTCAACATTATTGCTCTGCCAGTCGTTCGAAGGGGGAAGGAATATAGAAGGTGATGATGATGATGATAGTGATGGTGATGATTAGGATGATGATGAGGATGATGATGATGATTAGGATGGTGGTAATGATGATGGTGGTGATGATAAGGAAGATGTTGATTTTGTCGATTAATATTTAGTGAATGATTACGTTGTCCGGTTTTTACGACGCTTGTTCATTCGTTCATTCATTAATTAATTCAGTAATTAATTAATTAATTCGTTCGGTCGTTCATTCGTTCACTCGTTCATTCATTCGTTCATTCATTCATTCATTCATTCATGCATTCATTCAATCATTCGTTCATTCATTCGTTCGATCAATGATTCACTCAGTCAACCGTACATTCACGATTGAAAAAAAAAACCTTCTCACCAGATGAATATCTACTCCAAATTCAAGATGAAAATATTCATCAACAGCAAAAAAGGAGGTGATAATGACGTCACCAAAGATCACAAAAACAACAACAATAACAATAATAATAAGGATGATGATGATGATGATGGTGGTGGTGGAGGCGTGTATCTGGATCGGGATGACGAAATGCCTCTTTTCTCGATCGCTGTCGACCAGGCCTTATCACCATTCACATGCCGAGTTGGTGGTAACGATCGCGGCGACGGCTGTGGCGGTGGTGGTGGCGACAATGACGACGATGATGATGATGATGGCTACGGCCCTCCACACATCAGAATGCTCGTGCAGTTCCATCAGGATGTTTATCAGTACCTGCTGAAATTGAACCAGGAGTCTTTCTTCCAGATCGACCACAACTACTACAACATCGCCAACTCTGTTACGTCATCACCGTCGTCATCCATCAACATTTTGCAGTGCCTTCACTCATTCACTAAACAGGAAAAGGTAACTGGCGATTTGATTGGCTCCCGTATTTCTTCGCTATTTTTTTAATATGTTGTCGTCTTTACTGTCATCGTCACCATCATCATTATCATCATCATTATCATCATCATTATCATCATCATTATCATCATCATTATCATCATCATTATCATCATCATTATCATCATCATTAATATTATCTTCATCATCATCATCATTACTATCATCATCATCAC